GCCTACTGGACATCTGGCCAAGCGAGCCGGGGCTGGCGGGGGGCTGGCAGCCAGGACCCAGATGCCCACGCCCGCGTGTGGGCAGGGTGGCTGACCGCTCTGCTGGTGGGCGGCCTGTCTCCACGGCATCGCACTCCAGCTCACATCCGCCTGTGGTCTACCTGGGCAGACCCTAAGCCACACAAGCCCCGGGCCGGTCACCAGGGACACATCCTGGCTAGAGGCTCCAAGCAACATCTAGCTCTAGAAAAAGGTGTTCGCTCAGTCAGGGAATGTGACGAGCAGCTTCTGTGGGCTGGGCCAGGGCCGTGAGCGTGTGCACGGGGCTGTGTGCCTGTGCATGTGGCTGTATGTGTGTGCACAGGCCCATGAGCGTACACGGGGCTGTGAGTGTGCACAGGGCCGTGGGTGTGTGCACAGGGCTGTGAGTGTGGCACCATCCTCCTCTTGAGCTCCCTGTCTAGTGGGGTTGGGGGATGAACAGGTGGTGAGCCAACAAGTAACACAGTTTCAGACTGTGATGGGGAACCTGAGAGCTGGGGCTGGAGTCGCACCTCAGGGGAGATCCACAAGCAGGGCCTCCCTGAGAACCACAGGGACCTTTGGGTGCTAATGGAGGGAACAGCATTCCTGCCAGAGGGAACAGTATATTCAAAGCCCCCTTTACCTGCTTGAGGGTCCTTGAAGCTGCCGTGTGCCCAGGGCGGGGAGCTGGGAGGAAGGGACGTGGGGTAGAGAGGTGGGGGTCTGCGACCGCCGGGCCAGGTCACACAGGTAAAGAGGCCACGGCGAGGAAAGTGGGTCATGGGAGCATTGACTCGGAGAGAGAGAGCGCTGGTGGGGCCTGGATCACACCTCAGAGATGACATAAAGGCACAGCCTCCCAAACAAACCCCCGCACCCCTTGCTCCTGGGAACGGGTCCCCCGCAGAGAGCGGGGGCGGGGCCTGAGGGCAGGCGGCCAAGAGGGGGCCCCCTTGAGAGCCCAGAATCCACACGATGGTTCCCACCCATCCGGACGCCTCCAGGGCCACCTTTGCTGCCCAGCCTGTCTCCGCTGCCACAGGCGACCATGGACTCCCGGCGTCAGGGTGTTATTGGCGGCTGAGAAATGCAGGTCAGCTCCCGCGTGCAATCAGCTGGGGCTCGGGAAGCTTGTTGAGGGTTCTGAGCCGTTAAAGAAAGCCCTATAAATGGAGTTTATGTTGGCTTTAGTGCAGGACGTGTAACAAAAGCAGTGCTTTCGTATCTTGAATGTTTCCTCACTTCTTTTCCCCCATGAGCTGGATAAATAACACAGCCCTTCCTCCTAATAACGGAAAATTCCTTCGAGGGGGTGGGGCTTTCTGTCTGGGTAGGTGCTTCCTGTTGCCCAAATCACAGCACGAAGACGACAACAGCCCTGACCCAGGTTATGTGATTGAGAACATGTCTCTTCTCATTTCCCCAAGTTGTCTTGTTTCTCGGCCTGGTGGAGTTTTCCCTCTGGGCCTCTGCGGGACCATCTGTTTTTCTGGAGGCGTGTGGCTGGGGAAGCACCTTGCTCCTTTTCTACTGGGAGGAAATGGGGTGGTGGTGAAACAGGAAACTCTGCTTTTCAGGGTCTGCCCCCCATGTCCACGTGGTCACTGGCCATGAACTTGAGCATGGCTGAACACCGGGAGGTAAGTATCTTTTTGGTGACTGCAGGTGTCAACAAAGCATCAGATGGGGCTGAACAAAAAGGGATCCCACAGCAGGGTGCCGGAGCTGCCTCCCCCGGGGACGGCCTGCGGGACCTTGCCGCTGGTGGCCCTCAGACAGACGGACGGGACGGACGGCCAGGGGAAGCCTGCATCCTCTCCACTCGCTCCCCTGTGCTCTGAAGTCTTCTGGTTCCACCATCTGTCTGTTGTGAAGCTAGAGTCACAACCCCTGGGCTTGTGGAGAAGCGGCTTCCCGGGAAATGCTGAGCCCGTGGTCTGAGCCGTGGGAAGGGTCACCATGAAGGTTCCCAAAGAGGGGATGATCCAGATGCTTCCATGTGGCCTCCGACACCAGCCGCTGTGACATGCCCTGACCTCACAGCGTGGGCCTCATCTGTGCCAGGCTCTGGGGGACACGACGGTGAGTGAGATGCACCCAAAGGCAGTGGAGCCGGGCCGGGAAGCAAGGTCACAGCCCGGCGTGGTGAGCTCCCCCACAGGAAGGGAACACACAGGAGTACTGGGGGGCAGGGGGCGAGACTCTGAGCTGGCCTGTGATGTGACAGCTCAGTGTAGCCGGCGATGTGGGGGACAGGAGGGGGAGGCCAGGGGAGAGGGCAAAAGAAGACTGGGCTGGGCTCAGCAGGTTCTGGGGTGGTGCTGAAAGGACAGCGCCCGGCGTGGCAGCGGCCGCCCCGGAGTCCCGGTGGAAGCTTTCTCCCCAGACTGGGGCTGGGCGTTGCGTGCCTCCGAATTTTTCCACTCCCCTTCTCTGGATCCCGTCAGTGCAGTCTTGGCAAAGATGGCTTGAGCCTGAAAGCTTTTCCCATCTATTTTTAAATAAATGGAACTCCTGTCACTTGCGTGAAATTCACCCCGACTGACTCTTTTCAACGACCTGTTTTGCCGAGGTGGCAGGGGTGGGGGCACTGGTGACCAGACTGCTGACAGTGCACAGCCCGTGGTGTGCAAGACACAAAACTGGAAACACAACTGATCGTGGAAAGGACGCCCTGAGCAGAGGGCGCTGCGGCGTTCGCCTTCCAGGACCTCCAAGAGACGCGGTGGAGCTCTTGGTGCCAACGCCACCATAGACAAGCGAGCAGGGGCTCGGGGAGGTGGGGGATGCCTGCAATCGAGCCCTGTCCCCTTCCAGCCGGGTGGGGGCTCCCTCTCAGCACCGCCTCCCCCAGGAGGTCATGAAGGCAGCCAGGGGCCCCTCGGACCTCAGGGACGTGCCGTCCTTTCTTCCTGCTCAGTGCCCTGGAACGCCGAGCCCAAACCTTGCTGCTGTCTCAGGGACACCTGCACAGGTGACAGGGACATCTGTCACCTGCACAGGTGACCCCTTCATCCTCGGTGAGCCACGCTAACCGTGGGCTCACGTTGCCCTCCATCCAACCTTGGGGAGGGGCTCCCCCAGGGAGGGACCATGCCCAGCCCAGGTGGCACCCGAGGGTCTGGGAGGCCTCCCCTCAGCAGGAGGGGGTGGCCCAGCCCTCGTGGTGTCTGCACGTCTGAGTCCCAGGTGTTTCGCCCAGTTTCTGAGGACTGAGCATGTGTGTCCCCCAGACGCCACCCCCGTGCAGACCCAGTGCGCGCGGGACGCAGTGGCCCCTTCTTCCCGTTCGTAAGCCAGGGCCTCCGTCTCCTCCCTCGGCCTGGGCTCAGCGGGGGAGAACCCACCTAACGCTGGAGATTGTAGCTAGTGAGCAGGCCTGGAGGCAGGGAGGTGGGGGTCAGGAGTGTGGCCCCTGGGATGCACCTGTGTGCACAGGTGTGGGTGTGGCATGCGCTGTGGTCTCCCCAACATTCTAGATGACTTAGCCCTGTGCCTGCACTGTCCATTATGCTTTCTGCCCAACTGAAGAAAAACAAAACCACACCAATGCCTTTGGAACCCAAAGGGCAAACGACACAGCTGACCTGGCGCCAGGGGTCCTGTGTTAGCAGCCGTTACCGGTGAGGGCATCACCAGCTACTAAACAGGGCCTTTTGCTTGGTACATCCCACGATGCCAGGTGAATGTGGGAGGAGTCTGGGTGTAGTCAGGAGGGGCCCCTGAAGCCAACACCATCCTAGGTGTGCAGATGGGGGGTCGGGGGGGGCATCGTGAGGAGCTGACAGCATCGAGTGTGCAGGGGCCCCTCGGGAGCTGAGGAATGAGCCCTCTGGTCTTCCAGCAGCAGGTTCCTGAGTGACCCCCCAGGACACCCACAGCCACAGGGGAGGCCAACTCTGCCCACTCCCCGCCAAGGGGAGACGCTGCCGTCTGCGTCCAGAGCCTGCTCTCCTGAGGCCTAGGTCTTGCCCTGGGGCCCACTCTCCAACCCCCTGCCCCTGCCTCCGGCCTCTTTGGGGTCTGCAGAACAAATCCCAGGCCCCTTGGGGGACTTCAAGGCTCCCCGGGGTGTCTCTCAGGTCTGAGCTTCCTGACCCTCCTTCCTGCCGAGAAGCCTCTGCACACCCCCACCTTTCCCCAGCTGTCTCCCCCGCGGGGACGTCCTCTCCAAGGCCCAGTTCACGCTACCTCTTAGGAAGGAAGTCTCCACAAAGGCCTCCCTGCACGACCAAGGGCCTGGGTTCTAAAGCGTCCTCATGCCTGGCCCATCTAGAGGCCAGGAGCATAAGGTCCCGGGGAGCTGGGCCTTCTAACAGAGAGCCTGGCCTCCCCGGCTCCAAGGGGTCCAGTCCGGGCCCAGCTGGTAAGAATTCACCTGGGGCCGGGCCCCGGCACCGCACCGCCTGGGGATCCCAGGGAGAGCTGGGGTCTCTGCTCAGGCGTGTGCTTGCCTGGTCCTGCCCACCCCAGAGGGGACCAGGGGGCCGGATCCCCTCGTCAGGGCACACGTGGCCGGAGGGGCGGGAAGAGGTCGGCGGGGTGGCGCAGCCTGACCCTCCCTCCTCTT